ATAAGAAAATAATTAGAGCTTCATTTGTAATTAATTAGAGAAATAAAAATCAGAAAATTCCAGAGCTTGGTTTACATTTCTTTCTTCTCTCTCTCATCTTTCTCTCTCCTCTGCCATGGTTATCAATAACAACATCTACTATTTTATTTCTTTTGCTTCCAAGTAAAGTGAGAAAAAAAAAAAAAAAAAGGGTTTCAGCGTGATTGTTTGTTCCTAATAAAGCCTCCATTCGGGGTGTTTCACTAAAACACCCAAAATGGAGGTTGAAATTATAAAAAAACCCAATACCCAAAACACTTTATAAACACACCCAAAACCCATCATTACACACACTCAAAACCCATTTATAAACACACCCAAAAAGTTGACTTTGGGGTTGATTTTGGGTGTGTTTCTATGTTTAAATAGTGCTTGGGTTTTTTTATAAATACATGTCTAGGATTGGGTTTATTTATAAATTTGTATTGAATTTAAGTGGTTTATTTATTTATTATTATTTGCTACCGAATTAATAGGTCAATACTACTCATGTATATTTATCCAACTAAAGCTCTTCTTTAATCTCCAGCAAAAAGGGAAAACTTGTAGGCTAAGCCTTGTAGGTGGCAAAGTTTTGTTTTTCATATCAAATTAGAAGAGGACAAGAACGTTTACTTCATTCACGTTTAACATACAAAAACTACGAGAAAACCTTGTCCATGTATGTTACTATGTTTCATAATTGTATTAGGAAACATAGCCTAAGAAATTAGGGTTCTCTCCATTTCTTATAAATAGGCGTTCTGACTTTGAGAGGTTGAAGGTTTATCGAGGAAGACGAAGATTTCTGTGCATCCATTCTAGACCATGATGGAGTATTGTTTTTGGTTGGATCAAGTTTTAGCTCTTTTGATATCATTACAAGTGGCCTACATGATCGGTAATGGACTACTAGAAAAGTCCTTCACTAGATACATTAGGAAGAACGTTTCTTTTAACACAAGGGAGAAATGGGCTAGGGTTGCTGTTAGAGCGCTTGGAGTTATATTTCCATACTTTCGCCTGACAAGAATGTTGATCTTGCTCACTCTCGATTTTATCGGCCGCAAGCTCTCCATCTCTGCTAGAAGGGTGCGAAGAAATTTCGTTACACGAAAACTTGGTTCCTGGATAAAGAAGAGCAGCATCAGCAAGTGGTCAGAACAAGTTCCGGAAGATATCATGCAATCAATTCTGCAGAGGCTCTCGATATCAGATTATGTACGATGCAAGGCAGTGTGCCATTCTTGGCGAGCCTCTGTTGACATGGCAATTGCCACCAAGAATTGCCCTCCTGCTCGTCAACATCCATTGCTTATGATCGGCTCTCACCCTTCGTGCTTCAGAGACCCTTACTTTGCAAGTCTAAGTCTTGCCCCGAAAATAACTCTCAAGAGGGCAATACCAAATTATATTCCCGCTATTTACAAAAATATGATGAACAGATTGGCTTGTGTTGGGTCAATTGAGGGTTGGATGGTTGATAGCATTTTGTGGCGTCCAGAGAGTAATAATTTCGCTAAATCATGCTCATTATACTTGCATAATCGGGGTCGGCAAAGCACTTTAGATATAATCTTATTTTTCTTGAATCCGATTTCGGGTGCTCGAGTGATGCTCCCATCCTCACAATCCAGTACTCTGCTTCCATGCGGGTGCAACAATGGATCTTCCTTCCCCATTGTTAAAGTAGTTGCCTCCGCAACACCAACAAGCCAACATTGTTTCGTGGCTAGCCTTTGCTCAGTAGGCCATTTAGCTTTGTGCAGGCCTACAGACAAATCCTGGACCCTCATCCATGAAGGAATCAATTTTTGTGATATAGAATTCATGGATGGAAAATTATATGCTGCAACTGATAATGGATTAAAGTTTTTAACGGTCTTTGACATCATCCAAGATCCCAATGCCAATGGCCCTATTAGCTATGGGGCTCAAAGGCTAGACATGCGAATTCCTTTCCTGAGGTACAATATATGGAGAATGGGTGATGTCCTGCGTGTGAGTGACTATGAGGTCATGCACCTAGCAACAGATGCTACATCAATGGATCTGTTTTTGATTTTTCGTCGGATTAATTTTGATTTCAAGGCAGATCAAGCATTTCCTTTGTTTGAGATCAAACGTCACAGTTACATCAATCCACCCAAGACTAAGGGATTTCGAGTTTTCAAGTTGGAGCATGACAGTGACGATCGTCCTCAATGGGTCCAAGTTGTTGACCTAGGTGATCGAATATTGTTTCTAAGCGAGACGGCCAACATCTTCATACCTAATCATGATGATAAGACACTTGATAGAAACTGTATCTATTTTGCTTTCAATTATTCTTGTTTGGCATCACTGTCGTCGCGTAGCAACGATCGCGGAGTATTTTTCATGACAAACAGAAGCTTGGGACATTTCCGGTTATCCAATTATGGTTTTCTTACTTTATTTCACACTCGACCTGTCTGGTTCACTCCAAGTCTTTGGTAAACTAGTTTTCTCGATTAAGTTTGTTGTTGTTCTAGTATCCAGCAGTCTTGTGATTTTCAATATCTTGCTAGATTAACTGGTTCAAGGTCTTCATAACCAGAGAGGCTGCACTTTTGTATTTGCATCATTTTCTTTGGGTAGGGGTTAACAGGAACTAGCTAGCAACTATAACTGGCTTTTTACAAACGGCCCTATAGACATTGTGAGTTGCCTACCATTAATTTGTTGTTTGGAAGATCTGTTTCTTTTTCCCTTTTCTTTTTCCTTCCTGGAAATGGAGTTTCATGAATTAATAATATATATATATATATATATATATATAGTTTTGTATCTAAAAAAAGAAAAAGAAAACAAAGGCCCAAGAGAGCAACAATCACTGAGAGATACAAACCAGAGCCTAGTTCTAAAACCAACTGCAACACCAATAGAAACAATAATTTAGTACAATCAACCCATTGCAGATTTATTCAAACAGATGGATTTTGACAAGCATTTGCATCTGCATAAATGAAAGAAAATTATAACCTGAATTTGGGAATTTTCAACTTAAGCATCCATATACATCATTCCTCTGAAAATTGTATTAGTAATTCCTCAATGTTGCTGAAAACATGTACATGAAGTTGAAATTAACCAGACAATATAGAAATCAGTATGTTGCGTGTCTGGTTCAGACGATGTACTTACACAGATTGTTTTAAAGAAAAAAGGAGTAAAGATATCAATTAATTTCATAAGATGATCACCTAGAACTCATGTGTAATCTTGATCACCTCCTCCTCAACGCATGCTCATTGTCAATATCCTCTGTCAGACTTCTCCTGGTCATTCTGAGCTGCAACCGTGCAGCGAAGTTCCCTGCATTATTACCCTCATCGGGGTGGTTGTTATCGATAGCACCATGTAAATCTTCTGCCCCATTATTGATACCACCAGGTATATCTTCTGCCCGTCTTCTTTGTATTCGATCAAGTTGAATTTGATAATAGAGGGCAAAAGACGGCCACAAGTGCCATAATCATCATCCCATTCTTGTACAGAATATGATCATGGCCTCGTTGCTGCTCACGACGATCTTCTGGTTCACTTGCGAGGACGCAACGGGGCACAAGAACTGTGAAGATGATGATCAAACTGATTGGAGAAACCCAGTTCTTGAAAACCCAGATGCAGTATTGGAACCATTGCATGCGCATTCGGCCACCGCCATTATCATTATGTGCCTCTTCTTGCTCTGGTTCTTGCTCTGTCTCTTCCTGTGGCGCTTGACCAAGCAGGAGGCTTTGATAATAAATGGCAAACCAGGCCGCAACTGCCAAAAGAATCATCTTTGTGATTATGATCATCATCCCATTCTTATACAGAATATGATAATGACCTCGTTGCTGCTCAGGACGATCTTCTGGTTTACTTGCGAGGACACAACGGGGCACCACCAGCACAAGAACTGTGATGATGATGATGATGATCAACCTTGTTGGAGAAACCCAGTTCTTGAAAACCCAGATGCGGTATTGGAACCATGCATGCACATTCGGCCACCACCATTATCATTATGTGCCTCTTCTTGTTCTGCTTCTTGCCCTCTCTCTTCCTCTGGCGCTTCATCAAGCAGGAGGCGTTGATAATAGATGGTAAACCAGGCCAGAACTGCCAAAGTAATCATCTTTGTGATGATTCTGATCATCATCCCATTCTTGTACAGAATCTGATCATGGCCTCGTTGCTGCTCTTGACGATGATCTTCTGGTTCACTTGCGACTACGCAACAGAGCATGGCCAGAACAAGAACCGTGATCATGAAGATCAAACTGGTTGAAGAAACCCAGTTCTTGAACATCAAGATACAGTCTTGGAAACATTTGCGCGTTCGGCCACCATTGAAATGATGTTGTTGGTTCATTTCTGTGGAGCAACGTGCATCTTCTTTCTCAAGGATCATCATATCTTCTGATGGGTCTGTGTGAATCTGCGATCTTCTTACTACTGTTTCGTCTCTCTCTCTCTCTCTCTCTCTCTCTCTCTAATATCTTCTTCTTTAGACTTTGAGTCTCTTGACATTATATAGTTGTTAGGGAGAGAAGGCAATGTTCAGGCGCCAAAGCCAGTGTTTGACTTTAGGTGGGCTCGATTGACTAAAATGAAAGACCCGTCTGTTTCAAGCCTGTAATTCAATTTGGGCCCTGTCATTGTTTCAAGTTGGGGCTTAATGTTTTCTCAATTGCTTTCATTTATCTATTTTTTTAACAAAGTGATATCCTAGTAACTACTTTAGGGTACCGGAAGGGGATCGAACTCGGATGGAAGGAAATATGTACACTGTCTCAGCTAACTAGTATAATTCACGTCTACTTATCTATTTATTCTTTAATGCAAAAGTTTTGTCACTGGTTGAACTATACGGCGTCGTTGAAGGACCACTTTCACTAAAGGACTTTTGGAACCTAGTTCCCCTGCCCAAATTGCAACAGCATATAAATGGCATAACATACATATGATATGATATATTGATAAACACGGTCACAGTGCTCCGCTCTCTCCCTCTCTCTCTCTCTCTCTCTCCCTGTCCCTGCTAGCTTTATGGGTTCTTTCTAGTTTATAGTTTTATTAGTTTATAAACGTCTCCCTGCTTCAATTCAAGCACTGTTTCAGGTTCAAATGGCATCCGATGCTGCCATTGTCACTTGGTATCTATCTGCTCTCTCTCGTATTTTTCACTATGCTATTGTGGTATTGTGCTATTATGGTTGGTTGGTGAAGCACAGAGAGACACACAGAGAGTAAAACACGTTTCATTGTATTTGTTTTACAACACACAGGGGCTCGGGTGAAGATGGACAATTGGGAATCGGGAACAACGAGGAGAAGGAGTGGGTATGTGTTGTCGAAGCCCTCCAGTCACGGACTGTCCGGTCTGTTGTCGCTGGTAGCCGAAACTCTCTTGCCATTTGCGATGATGGCAAGGTGGGCCCCTTCCCCCTTTATCTTCTTCTTCTTCTTTACTTTGTCATTATCACTCTTTTGCTTCTTACCCTTTTCTTGTATTTGTGTGTATTTTGCACTTTTTTAAGTATTGGGTCTTGCTTTACTGAAATTTGGATACTTTATTTTGTTGTTGTAATTTTGTGTGTTGTGAATTGAACTGGGTACCAGTTGTTTACATGGGGTTGGAACCAAAGAGGAACCTTGGGGCACCCTCCAGAGACCAAAACCGAGAACATTCCTAGCCAAGTTAAAGCTCTTGCCAATGTTAAAATTGTTCAGGTAATTCACATATCATCGTACCGTGCTTGGCTATGGAAATAGCTAATTGTTTGCATAAGTTTTCATCGAATTTAACTAGTGGATGTTTTGAAATATAGGCTGCTATTGGTGGATGGCATTGTTTGGCTGTTGATGATCAAGGCCGTGCTTATGCCTGGGGTATTTAATCGAGCTCTCTTTACTCTCTTTTTGTTTACTGTGAATATTTTGGATAAGAAGCTATTGCATAATATTGGGTAATCTTGTTTTCATTATTCAGAATCCAATAGAAGAACAAAATGTAACTCTTTTAAGCCGGATACCAAAAGATGGTTCCTTTTTAATTCATGTATATAAATGCATCTAGGATATTTTATTTCTTCTGCTTCCATGTAGGGCTTTTATTTGGTTCTCTTGAGGGTGTTGAACTAGACCCCAGAGGTTACCTTTTTTATCATTCTAAGTGTACCAAAGTTGTTTGGTGCAGGTGGAAATGAGTATGGACAGTGTAGTGAAGAACCTGAGCGGAAAGATGACACTGGTAGACCTTTGAGAAGGGATATAGTGATTCCTCAGCGCTGTGCACCGAAGCTTGTAGTTCGCCAGGTGCGTTACAAATGCCAAAGAGTAGAACATTGACCTGCATGATACAAATTTTTGGATGCGGGATGCCTCTGTTTCTCAAGTGACATATTTTTGAATAAAGTTTTATTTACATGTTCTGATTTTTACATCACAGGTAGCTGCTGGGGGTACTCACTCTGTGGTACTTACACGTGATGGGCAAGTATGGACTTGGGGTCAGCCGTGGCCTCCGGGAGACATGTATGTTGCCCTTAGACTTGACTCTGTCAATTTCTTATCAAGTACTCCTTATATGGCAGCCTAGTTTCTGGGTTGTACTTTATCAAACATGTTTCATATGTTAATAGTTACCTGCATAGTTGTAATTGAGAACTCATGGGACTGTTATTTATCCTAGAATGCTCTGTGAACTTTTCTTCTTATTTTCAGAAAACAAATTTCAACACCTGTGCGAGTACAAGGTCTTGATGCAGTGAAGCTCATTGCAGTTGGGGCATTTCATAATTTGGCTCTTCAAGAGGATGGTACTTTATGGGCATGGGGTAACAATGAATATGGACAGCTTGGAACTGGAGATACCCAGCCTAGATCACAACCTATTCCTGTCCAGGGTCTTTCTGGTCTTACTTTGGTTTGTAATACATTGCCTTTTATCTGTCTGTTTCATTTCTGGTAGTCATTTATGCCTAGCACCATGTCTGCCTATCTCAATTTCATCTGAATGTGTGCCTTCTGATATATTATCATCCATTGAAGTGTATTGTTCCAGACCTAGTTTTATTTTGTCATGATTGAGTTATCTTGTGAAGAAGTTTTGAAATCTTTTTAGACCATATGGTCGCTATATACATGAAAAATGTGCTTAGGCTTAAGGCAGAAGTGGGACATCTATAGAGGTGAACTTAGTTGCTAATGTTTAGGCTTGCTGATACAGACCTGGGTTTCCTTTGGCACATACCTTTAGCGACTAGAAACATTTAAAACTGCATGTATGATATCTTGCAAAAACAGTTCTGAAGACATAGGTATGTTTCTTTGTGAAGCCCTGATAAAATCCATTTATATCATTTAAAAGAACTGAAGATGCAAGTGTGTTAGTCACAAAATATTTTATGAGCCCCTTCAAATTAGGCAGAGATGGGGGCCTTGGTCCCTTACACCTATTCTTGTTCATCTAATTCTGACTTGCTTGTCCCTGATTTTTTTATTGTTGTGTAGCCACGAAGATTATGATATGATGGGTCCTAGGTTTCATGTGTTTGTAGTTGAATGTTTGTAATTTATAATGTATTAATATGTTTTTTTAACCTACCTGCACCTATAGGTGGATATTGCTGCTGGAGGATGGCATTCTACTGCACTCACAGATGATGGAGAGGTGATTACTCGCTCCCTCGCTTGTTACTCCAAGGGATACCACCCAAGTGGCGTTTCCAATTAAGCACCATGAAAATAAATAAATAAATAAAAAGTGCTTTTAGCTGTATTAGATAGTCCTGCTTTTTAAATAATCAGGCATCAGTGACCATCTGAGATCAATGTGCCATAGTTCAACCATTCCTGAGTTGTTAACCCTGAGCCAACAGACAACCTTATTCTGTGCGTATATTATTTTATTGCAGGTGTATGGTTGGGGACGAGGGGAACACGGAAGGCTTGGATTTGGCGATAATGATAAAAGCAGTAAAATGGTGCCCCAAAGGGTTCATCTTTTAGCTGGGGAGGATATTGTTCAGGTACGATTACAGTTATTCCTCGTCGCTCCTCTAAATAGCTTAGATGGACCATATGGTGTTTAGGTAACCTTTTGAGTATATAAAGTAACGTTGTGCATCATGACTTAAATTGGGGGTTCTGGAATTATTTCAACATTGCTTATGCAGGTCATGGTAATGTATAGAAAATTGATGTCTTCTGGATTTGAAAAATGTCTTGTAATAGAGATCTCATGCACTTGGGTTCAAAATCATAATTTAAGGAATGACCTACGGATTATGTAAACTTTTCTTGTTAATTTGGCATTGTTTTTATTTCTAGCTTAGCTTTCAAAATCCTGCACACTTGTGATAAATCTCATTTCCTTCCAACAGTTTGAGATGGATTGTGTTTACTTGTGATGTAGGTGTCTTGTGGAGGCACTCACTCGGTTGCATTAACACGTGATGGGCGCATGTTTTCGGTAAGAAAATCTGAAAATGCTCTGAGCTCATAAACTTAGTAAACTATTGAACAATCTTTATTCATCTGGTTGCTCTACGTGAACTTCTCATTATCTTGATTTTGCTGTTCCTATGTCTTGATTTCTCTTTTACATCATATCTGGTTCCACCAGTTTGATTATCTGGATTGCATGCATTAAAACAGTTGAAGTTCCAATTATAGTGGCTTGTCTTTATATTGGCAGTTTGGTCGAGGTGACCATGGACGTCTTGGATATGGAAGGAAGGTGACAACCGGTCAACCAATGGAAGTGCCCATCAACATCCCTCCCAGAAATGGCACTGAAGACAATGGACACTGGATTGCCAAACTTGTTGCTTGTGGGGGACGCCATACTCTGGCGATAGTAGTTTGGAAAGCTGATGAAGCAGAAGAATCATAAAACTGATGAACTTGTTTCAGAAAATTTTCCGGTAGCTCGAATAACCACTACCATTGTTGGTTCTGTATAACAGTATTATTTAAGATCAACCAGTAACATATCTATATAGGAGGAAGAACTAGTTTCCTTATGGAGTTGATTAAGATTTCATAAGAAGTGGGTTCTGCAAGCTTTTTTCTTTGGTTTTTTGAGTTGGGTGGATTGACTGGCAAAATTCACAATGAACACTCATGCAAGTTCCTTGCGTACAAAAACTGATACAAACACAAAGTGTGTCATTTAATCTACCCCTTCTGATATGAACAGAAGTCTCAGATAACAGTTGTCGTGCCTGTGGTTCGGGGGTGATGACCCATGGCAATTCCACCTGATCTATATCTGCTCTTAAACATCCCAGCATGCAGAAGCACCAGGTACATCAATTGACTTAGTAGTGATATTGCAATCATAGCTTCCAATGTTTGCTGAAAAACCAGTCAATAATTAGTTTAATGAATTTAATTTTGCTTCAAATTGTCAATATTTGCATTTTATTAATTCTCTTACCAAGCGTTTTCCTCTGTGTCCACCTAATATGATCTCCTTACATACGAAACTGCATGAAAAATATCCAACCAAAACTGATTAATTTCTTAATTTTTCTTATGAAATGCAAATATTTTTTGTTGATTTTGGTGTGGAGAGGTGAGATTTAAGTAAACTACCCGAAAGCGAGGGCAACAATAGCCTGGGCTATGATAGCTGAAGAAGAAGCAGCAGCTAGACTATCAGTTCTCCATATCCGAAGATGCATCCACCCATAGAGCATAGAACAAGCACCAACAACCCCAGCTATCAATGCAAAGATCAACATAAAGCTTGTTGATGGGTTTCCTCCCAAATCTGTACACAAAATATCAGAGTTCAAAACCCATTTATTTTATCTAGAATTAGCATAAATTAACCGATTACGACCAAAAAAGAGAGTTTATATAGTGATTAAGAGAGAGAGAGAGAGAGAGAGAAAGCATACGAGGGTGATTTCGCTCTCCATTGATGTACTTATCAAGAGACCATCCAGCAAGTCCAAGCATGATCAGATGGACCACCAAGTTCACTGCTATAAGAGGAGCCATTAAGCCTCTACCAATCCTTCCAACCGCCATTATCAAAGCTCAAGCTCAAGCAGGCAACCAAGTTACACTTTAACGTTCACATGGAATCTCACTCTTCAACACATAGCCTGAGTGACTCATAAGAGGTTCATGGTTGGTCATCCAAGTTGATGGAACAAAAGGACAGAGCTTTGCTTACGTGGTTTATTTTTGGGAACCCAATTACAAACGTGTCACTACCAAAGGCATGGTGCCTTTAACGTGGAGATAAACCATGAAGAATTTTGGTTCGGAAAAAGAAAAGAAAAGCAGAAAAAAAAATGAAATTAGTTTGGACTTGTGAGACATGTAGAACAAAAAGTCACTTGGATCACATGTAGGTTGACGAGGGTTTATTTAAGTTTTTTTAGTATAAGAGTGGTGATTTCCCCACTCCTTTTTCTCCTATTTTATCCACTTACATTCCTTTTTTATAACTAAAAAAGGAGTGTAAGTGGATAAAATAGAAGTGGGGAAATCATTGCCCTAGTATAAAAACCGAAATGTAGTGTTACTTATTTACGTATTATAATATATGTGAGCGACGGATAGTATTAATCAATATGTGTCAATTAGTAAAATCATGTGTTGATGTTACCATTGTTACGGTAACGTCAAAATGGTGCAAATTGCTTAATAAGCGCTGTCAAATTTGAACAACTTACAAATGCCCTCTTCTCGTCTGCTACACAAGGCCAGAAACATATATAAGATAGTATGTTGTGTAATTGATGATTGTATCCTTCTTCACGTTTACAAAGAAGTGTCTGATGCAATGACATTCAGTGGAGGTTCAACAAAGAAAAGCAAACAAGTTAAAACAAGAGCAAACAAGGTAAAGAAAAACAGTGATTTGCAAGGATCAGCATAACGTCTGACAAGTGTGATGCCTTCCTCTTGGCCACTTGTTGAAGATGATGCATCGTCCAGTTGAAGAGTTGGGCATGTCAAAAACCCAAATGCCACGCCTGTAAATGCAGCTCCAAAATGTGTCCTGCAACATTTACCCAATATAAGGGTGTCAAAAGCAATGTCTAAAGATCCTATGGCATATGGTCAATTTGTGTAACTAATATAATTCACTTGGTTTGAAGCCTTACCAGTCATCAATTGGACCAAAACAGCTCAATGTGAAGCTAAGAAGCGTAGTTATTACCGCCTTTCGGAACATGCCCTCTGAAACTTCCTTTGAAATTATGTCTTTGTTCTGGACCTGATAAGTGAGCCAAGCTCCCATCATGGCAAATATTGGTCCCTGTGATCAATTTATTGGACTTAGATAAAATTTGGAAAAGAAAAAAAAAATTGAAATGTGGAATCAATCAGATAAAGAAGTTGAGGAGCAGCTCACTGTTCCACCAACGGTTGGCTCTGGTGTATGAAGAAAGCTAATCAAGTTGCCAGAGATTCCTCCAAGTATGTAAATCAAGAAAAATGTAAATGAACCATAGCCTCTGCACACTTTAGGCCCAAATGTGACAAGCCCCCAACAGCCAACGACTATGTGAAAGAGTCCTGAGTGCTGCATATACCAAATGTTTCTAAGAGGAAGTTCTATGAGCCAAACCATATAACAGATCAATGCCTAACTTCCTAATGCAAATACCCTATAATTTTTTTATAAATATTTTCACATCCAAATCAATGCCCAACTTCCTAATGCAACAGAGCTAATAATATCAAAATAAATGTTAAATGGAAACAGAACGGAAACACGAACCGAATTGTCAATCTTGTACCAGAAACATGGGTGTCACAAGCCTCCACCATTCTCCCACCAGGATCAAATCATTTATCTTTGCTCCATATAGTAATGGAAGAGAAAAGAGCCCTAAGTCAGAACTCCTAACTGGACTTGCTATCTCAAACAGAAAAACTGCAATATTTATAGAACCCAATATGCTTCTGCATCCAAGATGAAAAACAAAGAATTTTAACATTGACTATGAAATGAAATATAGCAGCTAGGAAAAGCTCAGTTGCAGCATATTCAAATATTGATTTAGATGTTGCAGGGTCTTACATTAAGTAGAGATCAGAGATTTCATTATATTGCAGTGAATCTTGAGAGCTCTGAGGACCATGATCATCCCTTGTACTTACAGGATTTCTGTAGCTCCTCTGTTCTTCCCTCTCATCAGATTTTTCAGAATCTTGATTGATAGATGATAGTTTTTCAGTAGGATTGTCTTCAGTAAGATCAACAGAACTAAATGTATAATTCTCTGAGTCTCCATCTGAGGTAATAAAAATTATAAAATTAATTGCCCTTTGTTAGAAATAATTACTCACCACATATATTAGAAAGAAGCAACTTCTACCTTTATTAAGTTTTCCAAAATAATCATCAAGAGACTCCAACCCCTTCTTTAATCTCAACTGACTTCTAGTGAGTGGCTCCCCTGTCCTGTTTGACTTATCTGCAGGCAGATTTGTGCCATTTTGGAGTTTCCCAAGATAGGAATCTAAAGATCTGAGTTGCTTCTCATTTGTACCAGAATCTGATGCATACCAAACCATGCCTATATTCTGCTTTCTTTCATTATTTGCTAAAATGAAACTTCGATGGCTTTCTAGTTCTTTAGATGCACTTGCCTCTCTTGTCTTCTTTTGTGTCAACACATCAGTGCTAAGAAATGAAGAAATATGCCAATTCCTGCACATATTGCTGGACATATCACTCTGTCTCATTGCGTAATGATTCAGTTGAGCATTGCCTTTGTATGGGATTTTGTAGCATATTGGAACCACAGCCATGAATTCCTAAGAAAGAAAGAAAGAAAGAACAAAAGGGTATCATAACCTAACTCTAACAGATAATTGTGTCTTTGCGTGTGAAAGTTAAGCATATAAATATGGAACAATACTGATAAGTTGATGCCGAAGAAAACAGTGAAACAGATGGGTGCATGTGTATTTGGTAGAGTTTTCAACAACAAAATCTTTTCCTGATACACAGTCTGTTTGGTTTATGAATATAAATTTATATGTATAATATAAGCAACCAAAGTTGTAAACATTTTGCAAAAGCAGGAGACTTTCTTTTTCTCTGCAGCCAAACAGAGAGAGGCCACTCAAAAAGGCAACTTTACTGATTTTTTTTTTTAAAAAAAGAAAGCTTAAGAGGGTTTGCCAAAAGAACAATAAAGATGGAGATGCGAATGAAAAAACAGGCAGTTGCATTGCATACCTCAATTCCCAGATTTCCCAAAATGGATATTAATTTAAATTTGCAGAGCTTTTGAGGGGGACAAGGTCAGAAGTTGTTTGTAATTCTTGGTATACTCCCATTAATAGAAGTCTGTGCGGCCAAAGAACAACAATCCCATGAAAAACCTAGGATTGAAAGAAATAGTGAGGCAGTGACAACGAGTGAAATCCCAAGTGGAACCTCCCTTATCTCTGTTGCTCCACTAGGACTTTGCCACGAGTGGCTTACCGCTGATATGGTTTGCGTGGACAAACTCCATTTGACACCCTCTCTTCATTTAGCTATTAAAATGCTAACGGTCAAACAAAGCACAAAAAAAAATGAAAACGTCTTGTCTGGACTCTGGATTATTGATTTTGCACGAAGATATGTAATATGCAATGTCACATCTGGGACAATAACATACGTGATTTGTGTGTTCTGTTTCTATTGTTAAATCGTATATTTCCCCTAGTACATGCGTTTCAACATCACCCAGAATATATATTGAACTTAAGTGAAACTACATGTAAAAGGAGCGTATTATGAGTATCGAAAATGGAAGTCTTGCATTGAATGCTCGCATTCTAATGCCTATAGTTTACACAAATGGTTCGTGTAGTTTTGATTTTTTTTTTCTATTTTTGGGCTGTAATTTGATTCATTTTCATTAAGGTTTTCATAGGTTCAATTATAGTAATCTTACCCTTCTAAGTTTCTAACTTCGCAATTCAAGGATAAGTCTTTATTTTCGTCAATTGAGTGGACAACACATGGTTACATGCCGTATGTATAGTAGGAGACATTTTAGACATTTTTTGTCAAGTTATAAACAATAAACCATGAAACTTGACTCGGTTTCCACTAAGGTCACGATATCTTATAATCCCTCACATTTGTGCTGCATGTTGTCATATTCTCTACAAAATTCCCAAAAACAAGGATTTGTCATTGGATTGCAAACGTTAGACAACTACATAAGTAAAATTATAAAAATGAAAACTATATGTGGACTTATTTTGTTTGTAGTTTGACATTGTTAATTCCATAAGGCCTTGTTTGGTAAGCTAGATTGGACTGAATTGGATTAACCTTTCTACATTACACTGGACTGGTTGAGATATGACTGGATTTTAAGTTGTTTGGTGCAATACAACACCAAAGTTGAGATTAGTATGCCATTTTTTTATTTTTTTTATTTTTATATTCTCATTTCCAAATTAATTACAACAAAATCGATTTGCAATCCCAAAAAAAAATACAAATATAAGTCGTCATCTTCAGATTTCTCAGCCACCTCCCTTCATATCTCAAAGAACAAAAAGTTGCAAAATTATATATATATATATATATATAAATAAAGAGGAAGAAGTTATGAATCTGCCTTTCACCAATTTTTACATCCAAGATCTGAGGTCTATATATGGCAGCATAGAAGATTTGGCAGAAAGAGAGAGAGAGAGAGAGAGAGAGAGGATCTGAGAGAAGAGAGAAAAAGAAGAGAGAGAAGAGAAGAGGGGAAGAGAGAAAGAAGAAGAAGAAGAGAGATGACTAGAGGCATGCTCTCTATCTTCGAAGCCCACGTCTGGGGTTGGGTTTCTAAGCCCCAATTATTTGGGACTTTGATCCAAGGTATATATTCAGTCCTAGATACACTTTAAGCCCACCAAACGATGGCTAGGACTCATGTCCATTTTAGTTGAAAATATCTAGTCTAGTCCAGCTTACCAAACGGGGCATAATATTGCTGTTTTAGTGAAAAACATATGTTTCATGGCCAAGCTTCAAGGCCTGGGTCAAGCTTAAGATAGAAGGAACATGCCTCCTCATTATACAAATGGGGCAGCCCAACTTGAGAGATAAGAAAATTCTCATGTTAGAGCGTGACAATCAACGTTATGACAATGTACTCGCTTATAATTGTTGCCACGAAAACCGTGAACGTTATATTGGGAAGCGAAGTAAAACCGGCTTTTTTTTCCTTTTTAATATAAACAAAATTACAAAAGTACCCTTCTAACCCTAAACGCCCCCTATTTCAGTGTTTTGTGTCTCCGCCTCTCACTCTCATATCAGCAGACATCTCTCATTCGCACCTCTAGATCTATCTCATCTTGCAGCTTTCTCAAAATCTCTCTCCGTCGATATTTATGCTTTTCTTTTGCATCTCTCTCACTCTCCCTTGAAGGTGAGAAACTCCAATATTCATCATTTTTCTTTTTCAATTACATTTTTTAAGTTATAATCCAAATTATGGTGTGTTTCCAATATTTATAGTGATCTTGTGAATGAAAATTGTCACTTTGAAATGCATTGATAAATGCATGTTTGATTTCACTAGATTATATCTTCTTGGTGATTACTAATCAATTGAATGAATTTTGTAAGTGTGTAATTGATAGATTTTTTTTTCCCTAAATTTTGTAAGTGCATATATTTCGTTAGCTAGATCTATTATTAGATTATTGTTTTTTTATACAAGAAGTACAGAGAGATGATAATTGATTATAAGAGTGCATAAATAAATAATCTTATCCGCTTAAGCTAAAAGTCCCTTGCATTATTAGGTTTAATGCATATCTTATGGAGTTTTGTTTTTCGCTTATCATGTATATTTACATTTTTTAGGGATTTTGTTTGGTTGATGGACTTTATGTTAAGAGTAAGATAGCTTTGTTTTGTTTTGTCCTTGATGTGAATTGATGAAATGGTGGATTTTTTTTTTCTTTAATGAACAAATTTTCAATTAATGAGAAGGAAATTATATAATAAACTACTTTATTTTAAGATTCCACAACCTTAAAAATCATTTTTTTGAAATAAATAAAATTCAAAATAAAATTTTGAGGAAAAAAAAAAAAAAAAAACTTTTATGTGCTCCACTCAACGACGAAAGTGAACTCATTTTTCATTTATCTTCTCAATAGTTGTGGTTGACATTGTCTGTTTGGTGTATAGGACTCGACATTATTGGGACTGAGTCCAATCTAGGCTTGGCCCAGTCTTGCCCTTCTAGAGGGAATTTGTAAGCCGCAATATATTGGATTATTCTTATATTTATAGGTTTATCTTACACTTCCTAGAATATTAATCCAGCCCAGATCAAGCGACCAAATAGTCGAGTTCAATTTAATACATTGTTATTCTCTTTACCAAATTATACATAATGTGTTGAGAGATTAGTTTATATTAAATATAAAAGACGCATCTACGAGATATAAAATATCGAGATTCGAGAGTGAGGAAATCTCTAAGTCTTAACAAAATACAGGCATTAAAAAAAATGTGGAAATGTGAAATGTATCTAGATAATATGGTATCTAATCTATTGGCATTCAGAAATGGAAACACATTTTTCTTCTATGGAAAGATATCTGAAGGCATACAACTTAAAATGGTAAGAAGGGTAAAGTTGGTAAAATATTACCACCATACAAGGAAATATATTCACCCGCGCCTTTCCATTTTCAGGGCCATCCAAAAAAGAATTACAAATCCAAAAAAGAAAAAAAATACCAGAAAATTAGAAAATGGGTTGTCTGTCTGTCTGTCTGTTCGTAACTCCTAAATTTCGAGTTCTGCCCAAAACTCTCCCGCCAAGTGGCCAAAATTTGAAAGACGAAGACAAAGAGCGGCTCGGCATGCTCTTCAAGTGTCTAGCCACAGGCTGTCTGAAACTGAAATCTGAGGCTTTAAAATCCGAGTGAGCGTCAGAGTTGAGATCCAGAGGAAGAGAGAGGTAGAGAGGGAGAGAGAGATGGCGAGTTCTTCGAGCTCTGGTTTGGAAAACAACGCCTTGGCTCAGAAGAATGAGAGCGAAAGAGTCAGGGATGATAAGGTGGCCCAAATAAAAAACCGTGTGCACGGAGGCCGAGCTAAGGGAAAAACCTGTCATCAGGTGATTTTTTGTTTTTTTAATTTTTAGTGGGATTTGCGTACCCAATTTGTGGTGTGTTTGGTTGGTGAGAAAATTTCTGAAAGAAACGGAGAGTGGACTTTCTTAGACTTTTGTTGTTGTTGTTGTTGTTTTTCTTGTTCGGATGATAGAAAATGTAGGAGATTATGAAAGGTGGGATTTTTTGTTTTGGTCAATTTATTTAATGGTTTGTTGGTTACATTCCGCAGTGCCGGCAGAAGACACTGAATTTTGTGGCCTCATGCACCAATATCAAGACGAAGGGTCGTCGTTGTCAAATTAATGTATGTTGCAGATGTCTCCTGAACAGGTTAGATTAAAACAATTCTCTCTCTTTGGTTTTTCGAATAAAGTTCGTGGAATAAATTGGTATGGGATATCAAATTGAAAATAGATATGGAGAAATAGCTGAGGAGGTGGAACGTGAGGGTAACTGGAGTTGTCCCAAATGCAGAGGCATCTGTAATTGTAGCACTTGCATGTAAGTGTTTGAAATTAGTAGCCTAGCAATCATTATTATTGAATTGTATTGCTGTTTTTTTGGTGTTTTGGTGATGCTGATTAGACATACCTGTTTTCCCAGGAACAAAAAAGGTCTCCAACCTACTGGTCTTCTTGCACCAACAGCCAAAGCAGAAGGGTTCAAATCTGTTTTTGAAATGTTGAGTGTGAAAGGGCTAGAGAACTTAGGTCGAGACAAGAATGCTGGACGCAAGGGTGCTTCGCGGAAAAAGGCTGTTGCTTTAGACGAGGTTTGGTGGTTTTGATTTAACAGTATTTTGCTGCTGCAAGTTGATATTTTTTTATGTTATCTTGTTTGGATGAGTGTTGTTTAAAGTGGGTTTATGCTCTTGTGTTTTAATAGGATCCTGTTGTTGATTCTCCGAGAAAACGAGGGAAGGAGAATTCTGTTGAAGGAAGTGATGATGTGAATTTGAATGAAACACTGGACTCTGATGAGCTGAAAAGTAAGAAAGCAAAGCGGGGAAGGTTGATGGAAATTGGTAATGAGGGCAGAGATGATGCCAAGGCCAAGACTGGCAGAGGGCGCCGCAGAGGCAAGGAATGCAGCATGAAAAAGAACAAAGCCGAAGAGGATGAGGATGATGCTGTCCTGCCTCAGGGCAAACCTGTAACAGATGCAGCGCAGATTGAGATACCTCCTGAGGATGCTGGAAATGCTCTGCAATTTTTGGAATTTTTCTCAGCTTTTGGAGAGGTAATTTTCACTTTGTTCTATCAAATATCGAACTAAAAGTCTAAATGGTACTCTGATCTTGTTTTAATTGTTTTTGCTTTATCATTTTGTCCCATGGC